GGAATCTTGTATAAACGAATGTAAAATAACTTATGAGCTTTTTCTTACGTTCGTTCGGAGTAAAAATATTCATACTCTATCTGTCGACGTATGTTTCTTGATGTTTATATTAAAATCTTTTTAATAAAATCGCCTTTTAGTAATATTTTAAGTTGGCGAATGAAAATTATCGACCGAGATTGCATTAAATGTTATTCCTGTTATGTGAGAAGGGTTATCTCGATAAATATATTTTGTTTCGGGTGTACATTCATCTGCGTACATTTTAATGTATAAATATAAATAAATAAAAATTGTCCAACCATGATGAAAAAATATGTATTTGCGATTTGTGAGATACCAAATATTCTCTCCATAGGTTTGGACAACGACACCTTTCTGGAATATCAAGAGACTCGTCTGGAGCTCCGTACAATTCTGTCGGAGCCATGATATTGCGTCGGTAAATTGAATCGTGGTCGATAATATTCTCTATATTCGGTAATAATTGTTGTACGCAATAGCGATCACAAATATTTATTTTTTTACCAACGAGATATTATTAAATATTGTGTCCACCTTACGACAATCTTATCGTAATTCGCTCGGTCATTCGATCAGTTAACCTATAATACATATAAATACGTATAAATTTTATGATTTATCATAAATCAACTAGCACGAATAGCAACTACGGATACATAGAGCTACGAATATAATGGTATTACGCATGTAATAATATTTCGTTGTAGATGTGTATATATATCTATATCTATAAAAACATATCTGAATAATAATAATTTATAGAATTAATGCTGCGTTATAGGTTAACTGTCTGAATAATATCTGTCGGTTGATCGAGGCGGTAAGTATAACGTCGGTACTTCGCGATTACTTTCGTCTCTCTTTCGTTTTGTAACCACGGAATCTTACCCGAGGATGATGTTTAATAGTATCCCGTTTCGGTACAATCGCAACGAATTTAGCTCGCTGTAAAACTGCACACTAGTGTGCGTGTGAATCAAAGGTAAATACATACCAAACACGAGATAGAAGCGTCGAAACTTGGAAGCATGTTGTTACCGTTGTAAATAACTAGTAGCTAAGTCAAAAGCATCTGCTCCGTTGCTGTCGTACGACTTCGTGTTTGCGACACGATGAGCACCGATTACGAATATCAGGTCACATCACGTTTAATCACGCACGCACAGTCAGATTGATGTCCCGATACGATCGTCCATCACTTAATGCAGCACTCTCGACAATGGTCACACGCGAAATTCGCTTCCGATCGAGCGAAACAACACGATAAAAACACACCGCGACACCTCGCTCGCGTTCGGATAGGCGAGAGACAACACGAAACTGCCGCGCGCTGACAAAGGCAAATGACGTCACAAGGTTAGAGCGCCGTGGGATTTTGGACAAACATTCGAGCGTGCGAGATACTTCCAACGTAATATACGTACAATCGACGCGCGTGCTGATTTATGTTTTAACAACACTGGCGTTTATTTTAATATTTGATATATACGATCGGCTCAAGTATCATACCTATTGCGTGATTTTCAATACGATGGATATAAATGAATGATTCTAATTGGAAAGTAGGTCGCGTTGTATAGAAATTCGAAATTCAAATAGTTTACGTCTTATGCCTCTTTCTTTATGAAAAGTCTCGCCGAAAAAGCCTCGAGCATTGTCGTCGCTTGCGATGACGAAAGTGCGTTTCGCGCTTTGGTTATTAATATCTACGAAGTAATAATAAATCATCAGCCTTACGAGATTTAAGTCGATATTCACGGTTTAATCTTGTACTAAAATTACTTTCTCAATACGATCTCTAAGACTCTTCCATAGACTATGTAACTTTTTAAGATCGTCTCGATCTTAAATACAAAGTTGGACGGCGAATACCAACCTTGCGTGAGCGAAAAACATCGCTGCTCACGCAAGACTCTCCTGTCGGTAAAATTGCGTCGAATTAGTACAGCCAATGATCACAGAGTGCGGTTTCATAAAAATGTGCACTTTATCGCAGATAAAAAATCGTAGATCTCTATCCATAGATACAGAATTTCAGGATAATGATAAATTGTAAAATTATGCCATATTATGCAAATATATAGTAAATATTCAGATATAATCTGATATATAAATTATCGGACCTAATTCACTTAACAATATTTATTATAGGCTAACGATCTCTATTATTACCATCGATGGAGTTACGACACACAAAATATCGTTAAATAATCGCCGAAAGAAAATATCAGGGAGGAAATTTTGGCTCCGCGGAAGTGAATCTTGCGCGTGAATCATCGTCAAAAGTATCATAAATAAATTTTGCGCGTTTGTCGCGGCTCTGAATAACTCTAAACATCTCACGAAACGTGCTGTCGAAAGTGCCGAGCAAAGTGTTACACTTTCGTCGCGTCGTGATAGTGCAATTCAAATTGTCAAATCTTACTCCTTCAGTTAGCCAAAGAAGCCTCGCACGCGAATAATCGTCGTCCGTAGCGCCAAGGATACGTGTCGCGCGTTCGTTATGGCAGAACTCCGTCAAATAATCGTCGAAAGCGAACACTTGGTAGAACGACCGTTGAAGGTGTCGAGTGAAGTATCGCGCGTATCGCGAGATAATTCGCGTATCTCAACCGCCGCGATGTTCAGTCAGCTTGAGACGAATCGCGCCGTTCGATAGGTGCTCGATGAAGGTACCACGCTTCATATCTCTCGTGATTTTGGCTTGTTGAAAGAGAGTCTCGCGTTCGCACGGAATGATCGCACGGAATACCGAAAGTAAGTCTCGCGTGTGAGTCGTGATCGAGCATCGCCTAATAAGGCACTAAATAGCCGATCGGAAATGGTTATCTCGCCGGTAATGGTCGGTTGAGGCTGACGATCGTCATGTTGCATTATTATCGGCGGCTCCAAGTTCAAATTGCTGTACTTTGCGATTCAGACCGAGCCGGAGGAGTCTCAAGCGCGAATTATCACCGCCGGGAGTGCCGATAATAAATTTCATACGCTTCTCGTGGCGACGTATCGTTAAATAATGGCCGGCAATGAATATCCGATGTATCGGCAGTGTCGAGTGAAGTATTGCACGCGTCGGGACAACGAACGTATCGACCATTACTTTTAGTCGCTCGCGGAGCAAATCGCAGAAATGTTTGTTGCGACGAAATAGCCGCCGAAGCGAAGCATTTCGCGAGATGGGCTGCCGAGAGTGTTTCGAGCGAGAAAGTTTCGCGCGCTCGCCGTGTTATGGCGGTCGAAGTTCAAATCGCGGCCCTTTACGCCGTCGCCCTATACCGAAGCAGCCTCACACGCAAAATATCGTCGGGAGTGTCGCAGGTATATTTCGCGCGTGTGCCAGTGTAAGTAAGGTGAAACGTCATGAAGTAAGTACGGAAAGTGAATATCTTACGGAACGGATCGTCAGAAATACCGAGCGGAGTGTCGCACGTTCACCGCGCCACGGCAGTTTGGAGTTCAAGTTGCCGCAGCATTCTGCGCAGGCGACCTGTCGAAGGAGAAGCCTGTAAGTGTTAATAGAGCAGAGGTTGCAACAGATAGCGCGGCTGTGACTCTTGCGTGTGCGCGCGCGATTTGCGAATTTTGACCAAATGCGACGCGACGCGACGCCGCGTGATTTCGTTTCTCATGTCGTTGGAAGTCGGACTAAAGATAGCGTGTAAAATGTGCGGGGAAGATGTTGCATTCTATATTCTATATGGGCTTGAGATAAATACCAAAGATCTCTTTTTCTGATATGTTGATAATCGACATTCATATTTGAACAAAGGTACAGATTAACACAATAGAGTTTCTAAGAGGAGTACGCTGTTATAATTATCATTACATGCTATCGTGACACCACGGCAGAACAGGTATATCTAAGAAATTAATCTAACGTCACACAAATTACACACAATCTCGTGGAATAGACGAATTAACGGAAAGTATGTGATTGATTAAATTCACTAGCAGCAATAAGCTTATGTTAAACTACTTGCAGTAAGCGTCACTTCTAGTCTCTTCTCTAATATCTCTTTTCTTTCGAAACTATACGTATTGCTTCTTCGTTTCGTTTGTCTATTTGACTAATGGAGTTGTATACTATCTCTGAGTTTGACGCTTTAATCAAAATATTTGCTTCAGTTACGTAAAATAACGGGCTAATTGATCATGTAGAAAATGGGGATACAGGTAAAAACAAATTTAGACATTTATACATACAGAGAATGGATTACTAAGCTAATTTGTCTGACATAAGTGCACAATTCGTATATTCTCATAAACGTACATTCGCAACTCCGCAATTTCGAAGTCGTATATCGTCGTACGTACACGCTGCAGAGACGTGGGAGACGGAAAATAACGAAAAAAATGTACGACGTAATTCTAGTTGCAAAATTCATTTATTTTGCTCTACTAATGCAGTCAAAAAATTCAGAGAGAACAGAATTTATTGATTCGTTCTGTACAGTGCATACCTTTCGGGACTCGTATTTACCCAGGAAACGTATATAGGGGTTCCATCGATCGTATGATCGATGCGTCGCGATCAAATATCAAATCAAATACCAAATCGCCTGTGTGTTTTTTACGGCTTAATGCATACACATATTAATATTTGCAAAAACACCAAATGACAATGTGACCGTATAACTATAATCTTCCCTCGTGAAAAATATAAAGCGATCCGCCGAAAAAAAAAATGAAGGAAAATACAAGTGGAAAATAGAAGGGAGAGGAAAGGTAGAAAAGAAGGGGAAGATGCGAAGAAGCGAGCTCGTAGGAATTATTGAAGAATGGAAATTAAATATATCAAGCGAAGATTCTTCGATGGGATATTCATATACACACACACACACACACACACACATACACACACACTAACGTTCTCGCTCATGAAGAAAATTGAGGTCCCATTATTTCGGAAGATATTTATAATAAGCGTTTGTTGATTTTGCGTCTTGAGATGTTACGGGTGTTTAAGACAATATCGTGTGCTGATTGACATTAAATCGATAAACAAGCATTTCTGCAAACATGAAATATCCCCTTTATTGCAATTCCAATTGTAGTACTTGACACATAGCTGATATCTAATTTCCACTCTTCAGTTTTCCGCGGGGACATCTATATCCTCGAAAATTACCATTAGAAAGTATCGATAAAGTCCTTACGTCTCTCCTACAATTATATCGATGTATTAGAGATAATATAGCCAATGAATTACAAACAATAATATCGCTAATTAATACGAGCTAATTATTCGTGTTAGTAGTACGTTGGATTTCGTCCGATCGTCTCGTTCGTAATCTTAACGCGTTCAGAAGACGATGGTCTCCTTGCGGTGCTTCACAATCGTAAAAACACAATGCATCGAGATCCTCGATCGTTAGTTTTCGTCAGAATCGCAATCGGTAAACTTATCGAGAAATCACGAGACTACAGAACCACGCGTCGTCAATTACAATAAACATAATTCGACCCTTAATGGTAATACAGGGAGATTGATATGGATCTTAATCGGGCCATTTTTCGTCGCAGTGTAATAAATAACGAGGCAGTGTCGCATCGGGTTTCGCTCGCCCATAATCGCCCGTAATCCACAGTTCCATATCATTTAGAACTCGGTGAATCAGTTCAGCTGTCGCTAATATTTAAAACGCTCAATGCCGCATGCATTTTGATTAATTTCGCGGAAATCTAATTAGACACTGTATGTCCTAAAGTCGTAAGTTTAACGCAAACTGGCACCGTTCTTTACAAACACAATCATGTTATCTTCTTTAATATGCACTTTCTTTATACTGTGTATATTGTAAATTCCTAAGTATACACATATATATATATATATATATAATGTGAATATACATATAGTTCTTTTTATATTCCGTTGATACATGTTACAAGACCGATTCAACGGCACGAACGATGCGGCATTGAACGCGTTAAGGAATCATACGAAGGACACGCGGTTATCATCATCATCATCATCATCATCATCATCATCATCATCATCATCATCATCATCATCATCATCATCATCATGATCGAGAATTGAGCGTGACTCGTGCTCGAAACGTGTGATGAAAATGTGCATTTTGAGTGATGTAAGAGTCAGCCGAGGAACGTCTCAGGCACATTTTCATCTTACCGTCGAGTCTGACTTGTGTCAATCGTAACAATGGCAGTTTGTCGGCTTTCATAGTAATGTATCGATGATCAGTCGACAGACTGATGAAAGAGCTCGTGTCTCTTCCCGGCGTTTGATTTCCCAGTGAAGCTGCGATTCGTGCGTACGTGACACTTCCTTCCTTACTTTTCTTCTTTCACGGATCCAACAATTCACCGCTGAAACGTGCGATCCAAGACTGACGCGGTTGTACATTCGATGGGATGGATGAGCGAGCGTGAGACATGTCGATCGTGCGTGAAAATGATCGATCGATCGATCTTCGGCCTATGATCGGTGCTTCGGTGAACAGTGACGTCGGGCCCGGTGTGATGAGAGGCGGTAAATCACGAGAGTCTAATCTTTTCTTTTTTTTTTTTGACTACTTCGAGACGAGTAATGCAATGGCGAGGATGATCGTCGCTCGCGCGTAAGTGTCGAAAACCGTCCACATCTCTCCGAGAAGACGACTTATAAATAAAATATGCGAGGTCTGTCAGGAGTATATATCGTAAAATATCAAAGTATTACTCTTGGCTTGTTTATGCTTGGTTTCCCATTCGCTCTGTTATACGTATATTTACGTACGCGCACACGACACGTACACATACCGAACGTTGCGCGTTTCTTTCTTCCATCTCATCGTGTCTCCCTAGCATAGTTGACGAAGATATGCGAACAACGCGAAATCGCCTATCGATCTATAGAAGTCTCCGCCTGTGACCTCGACTAGACGAGAGTATGCTAATCCGAATAAAAAATAATAATCGCAACGGAATACATATCACTCGGCGAAGGCGACTGTCCGCGACAATAATTATAATAATAACCGATAGAAACGAATCTTTTCGAGAAGCCTATGTCTATGAATATCCTTAAATCACAGTCAATTTAACAGGAATGGACATAATAAACAGCAGTAAAAGTAGTCTCTGCCGAGAGTGTGATCTCACTTCAACCGCTATTTCAACTTGTGATTTTCTTCCAATATCGTCTCCTCATAACGGCTGTTTTAAAATAACACTGAGCATAAAAGAGAGCAAGTCTACGTGTAGAATGTTCAGATTAGTGCTTCGCACGTAATTTAAGTGACTAGATGATACAAAACAGCGTTTGCTTAACGCTGCTCATATCTACTTCAATTTTTCCTTCTCCTCTTCTTTCCTTCACTCGATAAACAGCTGTCCTTGTAGACGCTTTCTTGTATTATCACTGAAATATCTTACGTCTTAAATCTTAAATCACCTCTTTCTATTGAGTTTTCCAAACTTGCGATAGTTGAAAACCACAAAGAAATATATATGTATGTTTCTTTTGTAGTTTATTCGTCAAATATACACATATATCTTTTCTTTTTCGAGAGAAGCTTTCGAGAAATTCGAGAACTTTGAGGAATCTTACAATCTTTGTGTCAACAGGCAGCGAAAAATTGTCAATCAAGGGTATCCATCTACTTAGGTTACATGCAAAGCAATAATGTAAAAGCTATACGCGTAGACTTTGCGCGATCATTCACATTCAATCATCGAGTTCATTAGTTTACAGGAATGACAGAGTAAATCTACGAATCGATATGCTCTTTCACGAATGTTTCAAAGTCACATCGTGATTCAACATAGAAGAGAATGCGTCCAATTGATTACACGATTAAATATTGAGATTTTTAGTCATATAATTTATGCAATACTAATATAGAGTTTAATCATAAACGTAAATAACGTTGACCTTATTTTTAATTCATTCATGATATCATTATTTACGAAAACACCACAATTTACTAATACTAAGTCGGTTTTTACTCGTATAATCAACGAGAGCCATTCGCCTTTGAGCAATTGCGAACTAAATTGCAAAATGCTTGGATACTAAACCGCGAAGGTAGAAGATAACTTCTTTTTCCAACAAATGATGTTTCGCGACATAATTCGTTAACGGTTTTGTGTTAACGTCACTAAAGAAGAATAACACTACGCGAACCATGTTAGGCAGACAAAACGATGGCAGAAAGCGTATCGATGCAAGAAGCGCTAATATTAAAAAGAAAAAAAGAAGTCCTAATTACCTTAACAAAAACGCGATGAGCAAAACTAACATAATCGACTGAAGTTCACTGCGTGATGTATTTACAATAACAATTTCGAGTGAAACTCGAAATGCATTGTTTATCAGTTGACAAAATTAAGATTGAGTTGTATGCGACGAAAGTCTATATGATATAATCTAAAGTCAGTGACTGTTCGAGGAGTTACCAATTCAGTCTTAAGAAATAATTAAGTCAACGTTTTATGGTTGTAGCAATAAAACATCTACCAAAGGTTCCTTAGTATCGTACATCATATCATTAAAAAAAAAAGAGAAAAAAAAAAGAATAAAAAAGAAAAATAAAAGCCTAAGACACAAAATGAGGAAGCAAGAGAGGGGGGGACTTCACAAAGCGTCGAATTCATTTGGCACAGATACAGTCGACATTTTAACGTACTGCAACTATGTTGGAATTACCTATTCTATCAGTTTCCACGTATAATCAATCCTGTTTAGGCGGTATAAAAAAGATGTCAATACCTGTGTTATAAAGAGTAATAGTAGTATTTGAAAAGAAAAAAAGAAGAAGACTCAAAAAACACATAATAATCGATTACAGCGGGGATGACACGTTCGATCGCTTCTAGTTCGATCACGCGCGAGATTACAGCTAAGAAAATTCTGCGTGTTTAATTGTAATAAGTCACTACCTCCGTTTGTAAAAACTGTCGCAATGATCGAAGGCAGATCGTTATCGGAGAAAGTAAACGCGAAAAAAACTAACGATAGAAGCCGGTTTTCGTGATATAGGGCAGTATCACTCGGCGTGTACATACGAGTTAACATAAAACGTTAACGACATCGGCACCATACAAATAAAGAAAAGTCAGCCATCATAAAGAAAAGTAAAATGTACAGCTATCGTAACATCTAAAGGACAATCGAATCTGAAATACGCTGCGTCTTTCGTATTATTCTCCTACCTCTTTTTTTTTGTCTCATTATAGCCGCCGAAACGAACGGTAGTTTTACGAACTGCATCTTAAATAGCGCGTTACATCTTCGACGTGGTACGTTTTACGTAAAGTATATGGAATCAATTTATCAGTTTATACCTGCGAATAAGTACTTGTGGATTGGGGTTATGCATGTAGGGCTCCTTAAACTGTATAAGAACAAAGTTAAGACGTCGCTACGACTACAGGAGGAACAACATCGGGTTCTCCGGCACCGTCAGCCACGGCGGAATCGACGACCTTTTTAACTTTTATGGACTCTGCACTACTTTCCGACGAACTCTCGGCCTCGCCATTTTGTGCCGCCGCCGCGTCTTCGCTCGTAGTTTCCTTCGACGGGCCCTCGTTCAGTCCGTTACTGTGCAATTTGTCGTCCAACACTGGCACCTCCGTATTCCCGTTTTGCGTGGTACCGTTGAGTTTTTGCTTTTCCGAATCCACTGTATTTTTGTCCTTCACGTCCACTACATTCTCTTCTTTCACTGTCTCGTTTGTTGGCTCCTGCTTCGTAGTTTCATTCTCGCATTTCTCGGCGTCAGTCGCCACCGTCTCTTCGTCAGGTTCCACGCCTTGTGGCGTTTTTTCATCAACCTTTTCTGATTCTGCGGCTACTTCTAAACTCTTTTCTAGGGCTACTTCGTTCGACTGTGACGCTTCTCTCTTTGCGTCTGTCGTGCTAGTTGTTGCTTCCGGTTCTGTTACTGTAGTTTTTTCCACAGCTACCTCCGTAGTTTCTCCATTTTCAGTCACGTCTGTTGCAATCGTCTCCATTTTGGTTACTTCTTCTTGTTCACTCTTTGCCGAAATTTCTTCGCTTTCAGATGTGCCGGGAACAGTTTTTGCCTCTTCCTTTACTTCATCCTTCTCTGTTGTCACGGACTCCTCAGATTTATCCGCTGCATTTTTGTCACAAACTTGTGTCTCTGAAGCAACCTTTTCATCAGCCTTTTTATCATTCTCGGCCGGTTGAGTTTTATCGACAATCTCGGATTGTGCATCTTTTGCGACGTCTGTAGATTCTTCAGTCTTTTTCTCATTAGACGTGGAAGCACTTTCAGACTTTGATGCAGACTCTGGCACAGTTGTGTCCATAGAGTCATCAACAACGGGAGTAACCTCAATTGCCGCTGTATCTACGTTTTCTTCAGTCTTTTCTGACGCAGCGATTTTATCGCTCTCCTTCGTGGCCGGCGCCACGACGTTATCATCCTTTACAGTTTGTTCTGTGCTCTCAGAAACGTCCATTTTCTCTTTTGTATCTTCGGATTTTACATCAGCCTCTGTCGTTTCTGCAGTCTGAGCCTCTTGTTCAGTATTTGAAGAATCTTTCACAACCACCATCGATTCCTCCTTTTGCGCTGAGGAAGTTGATTCGTCTGTCGATGACTGATTCTTTATATGCTCGGTTGCTTCTGATTCGGTTACCTCCTTCGCATCGTTTTTTTCGACTTTTTTGTCAGTAACGTCGGACATTTCCACATCCTCAGAGGTATCCATTGGCTCACTGACATCAGTCGTACCTTCGTCAACTTTTTTATCCGCTGTCTCTAACTTTTGTCGCTTTGCAGCTGTTTGAAATGTCAAATCCAAGAAGGAGTTAATAGTGGTAAATGTAGTTTTCTCTTCATCAGTCAGGGCGGCATTACCCTCGCGTATTACGATGACTGTCGATAAACCTGCTTCCTTGGCAGCTGCGGCTTCTGTCATCGTTTAAGAGAAAAAAAGAATGAGTAAAGGAAAAGATATTTGACATTGTCCAAATATGATGTAAACCTAGCATGCAATATCATACAAAGAATTACTAATTATTTAACACGATTAAATTAATATCGAGCGAAATATTGGGAAATATACAAACCTTTTACAATATCAGTAAGGAAAATAACATTGGATGGTTTTTCATTGATTTTGCTTAGAATATTTCTGTAGCTGTCAGTTTCTTGCTTTGCACCTACTTCTGTGTCAAAGAAACCACTGAAATACTAAAAAACCAAAATAATTTTCATGATGATTAGTTCATATAAAATTTCCATCAAGATATTCGATAAAATATTCGCGACTACAGCACGTTGTGTTATAGAGAATACCTTAAGCATATTTCCTTGTTCAGCGTGTCCAAATAGAAGTTTCTGCGCTTCAACACTGCCACTTGAGTAGACATATATTTTTTTGCCATCGTTCGTCCACGATTCAAGCGCTTTAGGGACATCTTCATAAACGCTAAACAAAATGTATATTCTTGAAGCCTAACGTTAAAAATAACTTAAATCCTCTCAAGTTCTTTGACTGATCTTTGTAGTCTCAATCTTTAGTTGGTTGCAAAGAATTTCAAGAAATAGCAGAGGACTGAACCCCAAATAGTAGACAAAGATTTATGAAACAATCTATCACATCGTTAACTATAATCGTTTAACTCCTCCATTTTTGAGAGAGAAGTGTATCAACTCTCAATATATATAAGTTTTATAGTGCCATATCAAGATGGAAAAGTGCTAAAGATTCAATAGAATAAGACAAGTTAAGAAATATGTTGAGCATGCTCCAGCAGCAGATTCGAACATGAAAACTATACTTATTCCATTACAATAATTTAAAATTTTATCCATAGACAATTATATGGAGGACTTAGGAAGTTAAAAAGAAAATGGCTTCTGATGTGTATCCAATACTTATAGTACAAACATTTAAGGTCAAAAGTAGACAAAAGAATACAAGCACGCTACAAGGTTTATTTTTATACACGTAGATCAAATCCAACACGGTGTAAAATTCTATATAAAGTAGAGATGAATATAAATAAGTGATAACTGAAGTGAGCCCAAATACTACATGTTCACCTCACTATTTTTTCATCCATAGTTTATTATATATATTATATAATCTTTTATATGTGCATAAGTTGTGGGCAAGGTCATGTATTCTTTAAACATTTATATCTAACTATATTTGATGCTGCTACGTACTAATGTTTTATGAAAGATGGAAAGATCTTTATATGCATTACAAGTTTTATAAAAACAATACAGTGCATATATGCATATCATATATCAATGTTATTTATTGCAAGTAGAAGTAAATTATAAAAAGGAAATAAAGTAGGATAACTTACTGAGCTTTAACTGCGCCCGTTTCATATGCCTGACGCCATATATGTCCTTGCAATTGCTTCAATGCACCAGTTTTACGATCATTATCCATTTGCCAGAAGATATTTTTTAAAAGAGAATCTTTTTCTTCTTCAGGCTTATCACCGATAATTGCTACAAAGCCATCTGCTTTGTCTTCTTCATCCTTTTTTGCCTAAAAAAAGGACAATCATAAACTATCGGTGATATCAACAAAAAATCAAACAAAACACAAGGAAAGCAAACATTATTGAAAGAAAATGGATTACAAAACTAACTTTATCATTTATTTACATTCATATTAAGTTTCTATGAGAAATATTAATATAAATGATAATCAAGTTTTAAATATTAAACATATAGGATGCATGAATTAAGAAAATCATCCTCATCGCTGAGTAGGAATGTAACCTTACTGATAGAGGAACAGGAAAGGGTATTTTACAATTACATTCATTATTGATGCTAGAAATTCTATCATCACATAAAAGATCTCAGTATAACCATTCAGTAATGTCCCTATTGTGATATAATGATGAGAAGTTTCGTACATCAACATTCGTTAGTATGTGTGTGTGTAGCTGATCAAGAGAAATATTCTCTCGAGACAAAAAATATCTATTCTCGCGCAAAACTTTTTGTTTTAAGGGAAGAATAAAATTGATCTTATTTAATAACAAAAAGATTCATCTAAAACACCACTTCAAGGCAGCTGATTTTAACTTAAAACGTGTAACAATGTGTCAATCAGTGTTTCTGTCGTATTAGGAATCGTTGGGTAATCAGTCACTACATTAAAATTACATTACCACAAAACTCTGTGTTTAAAATGTCAAACTTTATCCGGGAGATACTCAAGACATTCGTTATATATACTTGTCTGATGCGAAGCATCAGTATATAATTTCCACCCAGCTCCAGTGAAAGACAAATATCTCTGACAATCAGCCTGCAGGATTAATTCATCAAGGTTTTGCATATTTACCTGTTCTTTCAACTTTTCATAATCCTGTTTGAACTCTTCATCCTCCCACTTCGACTCGATGTAATCTTTCAAATTTTGGCGCACGTAGGGGAAGAGGGTTTCCTGCAAGAGCAACAAGCCGCGCATAAGGATCATACGTCGTCGGTAATCGCGCGTAAGTCGGGAAACGCTCGCCGGGAAAAATCACGCGCGTGTCCCGTTGTTCCCGGCAGCGTTCGGCGGCGTCTCGGCGCGCCGCGTCAATATACATATCTCGACCGATATCTATAAAAAGGCCATAGTGTTTGTTTTCAAGTCCCCCGATTCCCATGGCCCTTTGGCCGCACGCCGTTAGTGGCTCTAGGGCGCGAGCTTGCACTTCGGTCGAAAATTCGAGGCGATGCTCAAACGCCTTTCAACTTGACCGATTCGCAAACACGGCGGTGGCTGTAACGGTGGCGGTGGCGGTGGCGGCAGCGGCAGCGGCAGCGACGGCGGCGGCGGCGGCAGCGGCAGCGGTGGCGGTGGCGGCGGCGGCGGCGGCGACTCACGATCGCCCGAAAACTCGATTCGAGCCGGCGGCACACCGCCCCGATGCGAGGACAATAACCCGCCGTGGAATTCGACCGCATATATACGCGACGAGACGGGAGCGAAGAGACGGAGTCTCTCTAGCGGATGCCCGGACGACTTCCCGAGGAGATGCGAGAGTCGCCCTCGGCTGGCGACGAAACGCCGCGCTCGCGAGAATCTCGCCGCCAGGAAAATCCAGCGGCGAGACTGCCTTTCGGAGTAGAACGAAACAGAACGGAACGAAACGACATGGCATGGCATGGCACTGCACGGCACAGTACAATACGGCGCGGTACGTTACGGCACAGCCGAGCTCCATCGCGCGACGCGTTCTCTCGCCCGTCTCTCTCTCTCTCTCTCTCTCGCGCTCTGCTGCATCGCCTTTGTGCGTTTACCTTGACGAAGCTGATGCTCGTGGTGGTGCCCTCGATGTCGACGAGCACCGTGCTCGCGATTAAGGTCTCTTCCTGATCCTGGCTGCGCTTTTCCCCGGCCATTTCCACGAACGATACGTCCACGACCGTAGGATTGATAGCAGTGTATATCTATATGTGTGGTATTCCCTCTCGGTTAGGTTGGCGCTCACGCTGTGTATGTCGGCGACGACGCGTTCTTGTTGGGAGCCGGCGAACGAATTCGCTGTTGGCCGTGCGCCAATGTGTACCCTCGGTGTGTGCGTGCGTGCACTCACAGACTCCCCCCCTTCTCTCGGCCCTCGCCCTGATATACCCGGTAACCAAGACCGTAGCGATACGTGGCGTTACTTGGGCTTTAGTCAGAGGTGCCGTCGACCCTCTTCCGTTGCTTTAGACATGGGCGCGCAACGAATGAAAGCAGCGGTGCGACGTGGTTTCGACGCATTAAGAACGTTGCACCACTTTCTACGATTTGAAAATGGAACAAAGGTGTCTGAAGATGCTCGAAGGACACCCGTGTCGCGAGCTAACGTCACTCAGAGGTCTTGCGTCACGCGCTTATAAAGATTTTAATCGATTAAGCGTCGATTAATATTTTCTTCGTCGCAAACAGTCTCGCAATATCTATAAGCGCTATATATATATAGTCGTTTTAATTTTTAACTAGAATTCACGTAGACGCGATGGATAAACACACGCGGGAAAGTGCGGGATAAAATTTCGATGTGGAAAGCGCGGGGACTCGCGTCGCGTCGCGACGATCCTGCATCAAATACGAAACCGCGAGCCGTATCGGCGTGTAGATATACGCGCGAATTCGCGATGATGTGAGTGCGCGCCGTGCGAATCGCTCGCTTCCCCTCCGGTCCGTCCAATGAACGGTCTCGCCGTCGGAGTCGGTGTGCGCTACCTGTGTGCGCCCGTGGTACGCCACCCTCCTGCTCCGCGAAAATTTCACATCGACGAATCTGGCGGAAAATCGCCGATCCCGACGGATTTCCTCGATGAATCGGCGCAAAAATCTGCGTCGGCTCCTCGTCCGTTGCTCATCGCGACGACGGGACGGTCGATTCGGCCGAAGAAACCGTTCGAATATCGACTCGACGACGAGCCCCTCTCACCCCCTCGATATCACTCCGCGGGAAAGTAGTTCCGTCGCGCATTGTTTTTCGCTGATTTTCGAAAAACAACACGTGACCGGCGAGCCGCCGAGCGTTTCGCTCGAAATGCCGAAATTCGCGTGCATCCCGTTGCAATTCGGCTGCTCAACGGCTCCGTAGCATCGCATCTCGCTGATGAGAATTCCTCGCGACAGTGCGGTCGTCCATGGATGTGTACAGACGACCACCTGATTTTTGCGCCAGCGCCGCGTCCATTTAAATCTCCGCGTGCCGCGTACACGGTAGTAGAGCCATTTAAATTTAAACCGATGGCGACCACGTTGCCTTCCTGTCGCAGCGATATCGTGCCGCACGAATGCACGCACGTATATACGAGACAGTTTACCAATTATCAATGACAAGGTGTAACGCTGCGAAAATCTTTTCTGAAATATTCTTTATGCAAGATAAAATTATTCGTAACATCATTACAAGATAGAAAGTTGCATGTGGTACTTGCTAATGATAACTCTTTTCTGCATAATATTTCACATTATGACTACATCATTCATTTTTATAATATGCGTGATAATGAAATATAATTAATATAATTAAACAAGTATGTTATGAACAATACAATACGGTACAGTGCGTCGTATTATTTCAGAAAATGATGAGAATATATCAAATGCACCTTTACTTATCAATACACATCAGTGTATATTGAACGCATGTTACTTATATCTATCGAATTGTCTCACTAACGAAACATCATTATTTACATAGTATTAAATGCTACCAAACTCACAAAACCAAGAACTACTAACGCTAACGAGATTAAAATATATGACGGAAAAGGCTTATTTAATCATGTCGTATTGCTTTAAAGATGTTATGTCATGTTACCGTCATGACTTCCTTTCTATTCTATTCTATTCTATTTCTGTCCCATGAAAAATAATGTAAAATCCTTTATCTGAGTTACTTTGAGAAACCATTTAATGGTTGAAAAGCAGAGTATACTATCATATTGAGCAATGCCGATTCTTTGCGCGCGACTTAATGACTTCGCAATTACATGTCCACGAGTTCCTCTCTGACCCGTGCAACTTGTTACACGCATTGCAGTTTGTTCAGCTTTTCGCCTAGATGCTTATTCCAGTGAATTCTTATCTCTTGTTGGCTGCTGCATTTCTTCCCGCATTCCTGACACTCAACCTCGCCCTCGCCGTGTTCCTTCTTGCGATGCTTCGAGCGATTGTTGTAGGTGGAGAACGTCTGGCCGCAATCCGAGCACTGATAAGGCTGTTCGCCCGTGTGCTTGCGACGGTGATGATCCCGTGAATCCTTCCGTCGGAAGCTTATGTTGCAGTACTCGCATTGGAACGGCTTTCTTCCGGTGTGCAGCAGAATATGGTTGTACAGGGACTTGGTGTCGTTGAATCCCTTGCGACATTGTGCACATTTATAGCGTTTCTCACCCTGATGCTTGCTCCTGATGTGATTGATCAGCATCTGTTTGATCTTGTACGTGGCCTTGCACGTGTCGCATTCGAATATCGGACTGACTCTGCCCTCGTGCACTCTCTCCTTATGCGCCTTGAGTGACATTTGATGCTTGAATTTCTCATGGCACTCGTCGCATTCGTGCCACGGTTTCTGTCCCGTCAGCAGCGGGTCCTGGTGGTGGATTTGGTGGGTCTCTGTCATGTGGCACTTTAGCATACGATAGGTCGGCAGGTCCTCCCCGCACACGGGGCATGTAAACAAATGCGGCAACGACACGTTCTTGTCGTTCTTCCAGTGTTTCTCCAGATGCTCGTTCATGTTTTGCTTCTTGGTGAACGACTTTTCGCATATATTGCAGTTGTAGCGCTTGTGGGAGAAGTGTATCTTCCTGTGGAGTTTGAGCGCGTTGGTGGTCATGCAGCGTTGGCCGCACACGTCACACTGATACGGTCTCTCGCCCGTGTGCGTCCGATGGTGTTCCTTCAGTCGCGTTTTTAGCTGAAACGATTTGCCGCATAGCTCGCATATGTGCGGCCTGGCGCCCTTGTGCACGAAGAGGTAGTGCTCGTAGAGGGAATTCTCCGCGCTGAATTCTTTGCCGCACGTGCTGCAGATGAACTCGTTCATGTTCTCATTGTGTCGCATCTCGTGGAACTCCAATCTCTCTTTGCGCACAAAGTGCTTGGAGCATTTGGAACAGTGGTACTGCCGCGGCGAGATTACCTTCATCTCGACACCATCGACCATGAGGGATAAGGTGGAATCCTCGCAGGCGGCGCATGTCACCAGGTCGTTAATAGCCTTCGGATCTAAGTCTGTTATCGGTTTCCTGCAGAGGCTGCAATTCACGGGGTTCTGTTTCCGCAGCGTGGCGTTCTCCTGATCGAGGCTCGTCTCATCCATATCTACGTCGAAACGTAATTCCTTGGTGCCGAAATGCTTGTATTTATCCTGATGGCTCTTCAGTCTCGTCTTCCTCACGAACATCTTGCCGCATCCTGTGCAGGCGTGTCGCACGGAGTTCTTGTGCGTGTGGAAGTAATGATTCCACAGCAAGTTCTCGTTGCTGGCCTCCTTGTCGCATATCGTGCAGATGAACTTGTCCATTTTGTTCAGTTCATGCCTCTCCATGTGAAACTCGTATTTCATTTGTGAAATGAAACGTATTCCGCACAAGTTGCACATGATTCTCGGACCGCTTTTGACATCAATGTCCTCGCCGCATTTCGCAGAATCCTCGTCGACACGTTCTTTCTCCGTTTCCGTCGTGTACGCTGTACTGCCATCCTCTTTGCCGTCCGCTTCCATGTTAAGCCATTCCTCGCCGCCATTTACTGGCACGGTTTTCACCAAATCATTCGTAGCATTGTTCACTGTCTCGACATTTATCAAGTCACTTATGTTGTCGTTTACTCGGTCGATTTTCAGCAAATCACTCACACCGTCGTAATCAGTGTTCAGTGAGTTGGTGTCAGTTTTGTCCTGTGTTGTATCTACTTCCATTTCTATTTTTAATAATTTGGTAGGATCATTATCGATCTCGAAGATAACATCTTCCTGAAATCTTTTTTTTGCATTTGCACTCGTTTGATGCAATACATTTTCATTTGGAAACGCAATATAAGCATCTATATAATTGGCGTCCTCCTGCAAGACTGGCGAGCTTTCGCACACTTCATTATTTTCGCTTATAGTAATGCATGATGATTCCATTTCATTATCTATTATATTTAATTTTTGCGTGCAAATGTTATTAAAATCCATTGTGTTCTCAAGTGTTTGTATCTCCTCTTCTTTTACTGATTTTTCCATTTGATCTATAGCAGCTAATGTAATTTGAAATGGATAATTACTATCTTCAAAATTGCTGCTTATTATGATCATTAAATCTATATTGCAATTAGGACATGTGTATACCATGTCATGCAATTTGGAAATTATTTCTATTTTTTCATTTCTACTAAGTTCGCACAAGTTGTTTTCTGTTGTATTGACATTTTCCTTCGATAGTTCTAAGATGTTTTGCATAAAGTCATAATGTTTGATGACCTTCATGTAACAATCCAAGCATATGTATTTTGAATTGTTATCATTTGGTAATACCTGTACAAAATAGGTGAAGTAGTAGTCATCAGTTTCTTTGATAACATATGATATCCTGAAATCATCCTGGATATGTTCAGAATGTTCTCTGGGATATCTTAGATATTGGAGATAATTCTGAGATATCTTGTACTTTCTAGATTATTTTATAGCAAGATGTTCTTATTTACTATATTACTCACTATACTAAACATAAATATACCTTGAGTGGTAATGTGTCATTTATTTTCTGTGCTAAATTAGCCTCTTTTTCAAAGATATGTACCGATTTATCATTTTCAAGCTTGATATAACACAAACGACATTTTTCACCATTGTCTAGCACATTCATCTCTTAACACTTTTATATATCATGCACAATGTGTGCAAGTTTTAATGTTTTATGATGTTATTTTACAATGTTTTGTAGAAAATGTTACAAAATATGTTTATGAGAGGTATGATAATATATCTCAAACATACATCCCTTTGGAATATTGGCATCAATGGACTTTTAAGGTTATGTTTGCCTAGAAAAGGGGTTCAAGATTATTAAACATAGAAATTTTATGTAGATAATAATTTATATAATACTTATCTTCAATAATTATTATGAAAGATAATTTACCTTTGATAAATTTATTTTACTACTTGCAATAACTTACGCTATAAGTCGTAAGTCGTAATGTCTTCTCATCTGCAAATGTCGATGTATAAATTGAAACAAATATCAAATATTTGTTTTTGACAAATCACCTTATGGATTCTTCCTTTTAAGTTTTACATATTCGTTGAGATTTCCGTAGAAAAAAGTACGAATATTTGTTATTAAATTTGAAGTGCACTTTGAATCACTATTTATATATGTAACTGCGTTCATAGAGGTTAGAACAAGTATCGCTAAGCATTAACGATTTTTTATAGATAATGATATCTTTTTGTATTCTTTATTCTATATTTCTATTCGGACTTCTTTATGTATCACCTTACTAGTTACTTTTTCGTTGAAATAGCAAATAAATAAAATATTTTGTTAAGGTAACGTTACAATCAGTGCCATGTTATTCACTACTGGAATAGTAAAGTTTCATAAATTTTACAATACCTACTGATGGTTAATTTTACATTCAGTCAGTATTATTATCATTTACCTACAGCTAAGTTTTTATCTCTTGGCAAGGTAGATTGCAGAGAAAATTCAGCTCGTCAGATGCGTATCATGAGAACGTTACATCATAGACTTCATACACGTTGTCCAACGTAGTGATGGCCGGTAATTACAAGAGTTTTATGAAATTGTTGGAATCATGGCCTTTGGACAAATCCAAAGCGGGCAGGTAATTTCTTCACGACACTTACTGTACTCTTTAGTACAGAGCAAGATATTGTGCATGCAATTCTTCTGAAAGTTACATTCAACATAGTGGTGTGTTCGGTTCTCGAGATATTATTAACTAGGTTAGGATATTTTTAGCTTTATATAGTTTCTGATAACTGATACTGAACGAAACACATTATTCTTAGCAATTTATTGTCTTGGATGGTTTTTAGTGATTTGGGACAACATATCCGTGACCAGCTGAAAATTGCGTTTGCAAAAGGTGAATCAGCTACTCAAGTGGACCAAGAACGCTGTAATAGGTACTACGCAAGTTTAAACAGACTATCATCAAATTATCATGGACAAAGATACAAACGTACCTTGCTGAGTACAGCGAGTGGATTGGACAGGAAACAGTGTAATTTGGTACTGACTCCTGAAATGTTGGAGTATTTTAATGAAGAAGACAAGGGAATGATTGAGAAATATTATAATAAACTAAAGAAACTATTAATAAAAGATGATAAGAAGAATTAGATGTTTAAGCTTTGTAGGCAGTTATGCTAAGACAAAGCATTTCATTAACAGAGCAGATAGGCTACTGAACAATGTTAATGTATTGTGTTTAACAAATACAAGACAATGTAGTTTGCAATCTGTTCCGGAAAAAAGTCCTCATACGCCTGTTATGGCACAGGAAGTATTGTCATATATAGAGCCATCACCAGGCAAGACGTATATAGATATGACATTTGGTGCTGGAGGACATGCCACTAAACTTTTAGAACACTCACCTGATATAAAAATATTTGCATTAGACAGAGATTCTGTAGCGCATGAATATGCACAGAAATTATCACAGAAATACCCAGGCCAAGTAATTCCTTTGTTAGGTAAATTTTCAGAGCTGCCACAATTACTTAAGCAACATAATATTGGGAGGAACAGCATAGATGGATTTCTGTTTGATTTTGGTTGTTCATCAATGCAATTCGACATAGGGATCAGAGGTTTCTCTTTGTCGAAAGATGGTCCATTGGACATGAGGATGGACGGATTCCGATGTTCGGGACAACCTACCGCTGCGGATGTATTAGAGAGAGCGACAGAAGAAGATTTGGCACGTATAATAAAATTTTACGGACAGGAGAAGCGAGCCAAGAAAATAGCGCGTGCTATTATCGAGGCTAGATATATGTTTAGAAAATTAGAAACAACGAGAGAACTGGCTGAGCTAATCGAGTCTACTCTCAGTGATGAAATCAGAAAGGACAATCTTGGCAGATTTTCACACAATGCTACAAAAACGTTTCAAGCACTTAGAATTTTTGTCAATAACGAGTTAAACGAAATCAATTACGCGATGCTTCTCGCCCGGATATACTTGAAAGTCACCGGTCGTTTAATAACGATCAGTTTTCACTCGCTGGAGGATACTATAGTCAAGAGACACATTTCTGGAAACATAACGGATAACGTGGCAAACACCATATCTCTGAAGTATGCGAATCCTGGTAAGATCTTCGATGCGAATGAACTCGAAATGTTGACACAAACGCCATGGAAAATGATGCACAAGCATGTTCTGCTACCCACCGCCGAAGAAATCGAAACAAACCCGAGAGCACGATCGGCCAAGTTCCGTGCCATTTTAAAGGTGAAATAAATCTTACATAGGGGAAATTTCAATAGTACGCATTATTATTTCGTTGTATGAATACGTTGAGATTGTACACTGATAGATATATATATATATATATATATCGCAGCGGTATATATATATATATATCTATATATATATATATGGCACATCATCCCACAAGACTTGTATAGAAATACAAATTTATTGATAATTATATTTGTATGCAAAATATTTTGGCTCATTTATCGGTATCATACATCGTGAAAATGTTTCCTTTACCGAAAAATATAGTTCATGTTTAAAATAAACCTTCTATTTCATCAGTTTCGCTGTTCCAGTCCATGTCGTAGATACTCGGTCTAGTCGAGAGTCCCGGCATCATCATAATCTGAGAAATAGATACAAGACAGTGTTACAGAATGTAGACAAATATCTGATAGATAGTTTTTTTTTAATTAATCATATTGGACTCACCTCTCCCACCATAGGAACTACGAATCCGGCACCGACTGAAACGAATATGTCCGTGATGTCAAGAGTAAAACCAGTTGGCGCGCCTTTGATAGATGGATCTCCGGTTAACGAATTCGAGGTTTTCGCCATGCATATCGGTAATTTGTTGTACCCTAGCTCGTTGTAGCTTTCTATCTTTTTCTGCACCTGTAACAGATAGCAAACGTTAACAACGCACGATAACACGCTGCGACAATCGTGTGTTTCGCATTGCGGACAATATCGGATGTTAATCTGGTTTATTTTCTTACATATGACGTGAGAGAGGGTTTACTTACATTTTCCCCGAGTACAACGCGACCAGCCCCATAAATTTTCTTGGCGACCTTACTTATCTTCTCCTCAATGCTGTCTTCGAGATTATATAGAAACTTAAAATTGCTAGATTTATCATTCGTAGCTGCTATCACTGCATCCGCGAGCGCCGTGGCGCCGGCACCACCGTTGGCCCAATGCGTGCATATTATCGCGTCAGATGCGCCGCTCTTCAGGGCTGCTTGCTTGACGAGTTCCAGTTCCGCTTGAGTATCGGTGCTGAAAGAGATTAACGTATGTCTCGTTCACGTGCAGGTAATTTTCTACTCCGCGGTCGATCGTACCGATATGGAAATTCGTATGATTCAAGTTTGTATTCTTTAGATTTGCGAGATTTACATGAAGTCGATAGTAGGCGAAAGATGCGGGAGGCAAATTAGACTAATTCCCGAGAGGTAGACTCACGTGTGCGAGTTGATGGCGACGATGACGGGCATGCCGTATTGACGACCATTGTCAATATGCTTTTGCAGATTCGGCAGTCCTTTCCTCACGAGCTCGATGTTCTCCTCAAGGTATTCCTTCTGCAGAGGCGCTCCGGTGGTCACAGGCGGCCCGCCACCGTGCATCTTCAATGCCCTGACAGTCGCAACGAGCACAACTGCGTTCGGTATGAGCCCGGAGGTACGGCACTTGATGTCAAAGAATTTTTCCATGCCGATGTCTGATCCGAAACCTGCCTCTGTCACGACGATTCCTTCTGGTCCGACCAGTTTCAAGGCGATCGCATCGGCTAGGATGGACGAGCAACCGTGGGCGATATTGGCGAACGGACCAGTGTGCACCATTACAGGTGTACCTTCCAATGATTGCATCAGTGTCGGTTCTATAGCGTCCTTCAGCAGAATCGCCATTGCTCCAGTCGCACCCTGAGGATTAGCAGATAAATTTAGTCAGGCGGCGAATTGTATTCGATAAAAATATAGTCGATCTTTCTTTCTCGTAGTTTAGACAGTCTGGACAATTCACTGATTATACTAACGAAATCGTCAGCGGTTAAGGGCTCGCCGCTTTTGCTGAATCCGACAACGATGTTGCCAAGCCGTCTCTTCATGTCCTCGACATCGGTGGACAATGCCAGGACTGCCATTACCTCAGACCCCACGGAAATGCAGAACGAGGTCTGTCTTGCCTTGTCCTTCTCCGTTGGGCTCTGACCGATGGTGATCTTTCGTAGGAATCGATCGTTTATGTCCATCACTGCACAGCAAGCACAAGAACAAATGTAATACTTCTTCTCGGAATGTGCGTATATACATGCGCATTCTTTCTCTCAAGTCGTTATCTCGCACCTCGCGGCCACGTAATGTTCTTTGGATCGATATCCAGCCGCGCGAATCTGCGTCGCTCCTCGTCGGTCAACGCGCTCGGATCGGTTTTCGCGATGCCGAGTTTTTGCAGTCGTCTGAGCTGAATTTTCGAGAACTGCCTGACACCTTTGATAGTCGGTACCAGTCGGTCGTACAGGGCCTTGTCGGTCTGAGTCGACTCGTGGAAGTATCGCGCGTCGATCTGCGCCGCCAGGAGATTGTGCGCGGCGGTGACGGCGTGAATGTCACCTGTCAAGTGAAGATTAAACTCCTCCATAGGGATTACCTACGACAAGTCGACGTTGATCAGACTGATTAAGCGAATGACGATTTTGTAGGGTGTATACGAATACTATAGGGAGGTAAGGCTGATAAGACATCGTCAGTATCGTTATCTGCGAATGATTACCTGCGAATATCCTCCCCCCGCGGCTCCACCTTTAACACCGAACGTAGGTCCTTGGCTGGGTTGCCTGACGGTGACGAAGGAATTCTTGCCGCGATGCGCCGTTAGAGCCTGTACCAATCCAAGGGAAGTCGTGCTCTTGCCTTCGCCGAACGGGGTGGGTGTGATGCCCGCTACCACGATGTACTTTCCGTTCTGTTGATGCTTCAGTCGTTGCAGCACTCCGAGGCCGACCTTGGCTTTCTTGCTGCCGTAGGGGTTGAACTCGTTCGACACCAATCCGATTTCATCGGCCAGCGCGGAGATCGCTTTCGGCTCCTGGCACCTGGAGATGCTAATGTCGCTCGGTACAGGTTGAACGAGGTTTAGCTTGAGGGCTCTAAGCTTCCACTGGGTGCTGAGCATCTTCGCCGCCGCCCTCTGCGCGGATATCACAGTGTTCTTCATCAACATCGCGACAGTCATAGGCCCGACGCCACCTGGTACCGGTGTGATGTACGAAGCTACCTTGGCAGCTTCCTCATATGCCACGTCGCCCAACAAACGTTGTCCACTTTTTTTCGTCGAGTCTGAAATCGGTCGCAGTAGCGTTGATATTGTAGCGTCGTTAAATCTAATCGTCTTTAGGGTACAGCCAACCGATTTTTATCGTATTAGGTGTACAAATGAATAATTCAATTTTTTCAGCTACATTCAAGGTTTATTCTAAAACAGAGCTCGGCAAAAAGTGCACGCCACGGCCGATTTTCGATTATCTCCGCCAACCGCTGTTCCCTTTACCTCGCCACTCCACATGCTGCCTACAAGCCTTTCGAGCCTCAGGAGTGTGTTTCCAACAGTTTTCCACGTCACCCATGAGGTACTATTGTTGACGCGTTTTTTTTTAAGTGGAATCCCTAATAGGCCTAATCCACTGAGGACTGTAACAACCCGTAACTAATTGAACAGAAGCGAAATAAAATATGTTAAATGAAGAATATTTAATTCGATTTTCGGCGTCTTTTATTAGTAAGAGCGGAAACGTCAATTTGCATATTGCATGTAGCGAGCCGCATAAGACGTGGTAAGGAATCGTCGTTTAAAGAAGAACGCTTCTCATTTTTTATAAATTTCATTTTCAAAAATTATAGATTATAGATTATAGAATTATAGATTAGGCCTACTGGGGATACCACTTAAAAAAAAACGCGTCAACAATAGTACCTCATGGGTGACGTGGAAAACTGTTGGAAACACGCTCCTGAGGCTCGAGCGGCTTGTAGACAGCATGCGGAGTGGCGAGGTAAAGGGAACAGCGGAGATAGTCGAAAATCGGCCGTCGCGTGCATTTTTTGCCGAGCTCTGTTCTAAAAGAAAGTAAATTAAATTGTTCAATCAAAGTATTCGCCGTTGCTTTCTATAACTTTAAGCCATCTTTCAGGCAGCTAATGAATTCCATCTCGAAATTCCATCTCGTGTCTTTGGACACGATAAAGTCGTCAAGCCATTTTCGGATCTCATCCACTGATTGGAAGTGCATATCGGACAAGGCGTGTTGCATCGACCGGAACAAGTGATAATCGGATGGAGCAATGTCTGGTGAATACGCCGCAAGTGCTGCAAGACGTCCCAGCCAAGACTCATTATGGTGTCTTTTGTATTGGAAGCAATGTGTGGTCTTTCTTCTTTTCTTTGGTCACGCAGGGGAAATCCTCATGGATACCCCCGACCCCCCAAGGGGTCGGGGGTTATGCCGGACTCTTACCGGCTAAAACCCCTGCGGAGTGCCTACCGTTCGGACCGTGGTGGGGGGAGTCAGAGGAACTACGCCTATATTCTCTCCCTGACAGGAATGTGTGGCCTGGCGTTGTCATGCAACAATTTCACTGGACGTTTTCCTTTGCCAATATACGGGCGTTTTCGTTCCAATTCTTGACTCAAGCAGATTAATTGACGTTGGTAGCAGTCCGTGCAGTAACTGTTTCAACAACTCATAATAAAGTATGCCCTTGATATCCCACCAAATGCAGAGAAGAACCTTCTTTCCTAAGCGATTGGGTTTTGCGACCGATTTTGATGATTCGCCGGGATTTACCCATGACTTTCTGCGTTTGGGATTGTCATAGAGTATCCATTTCTCATCGCCCGTAATGATTTTTCACAAGAAAGCTGCTTTCGACGCTGCTTATTGAGAAGAGAAAGACACGCTGCCACTCGTTGATTTTTGTTGGTTTCAGTGAGTTCATGCGGAACCCATTTTCCTCCTTTCTCGATCTTTCCCATCTCATGTAGGCGTTTGGAAATCGTTTGCTGCGTTACTCCCAACTGTTCTGCAAGCTCCTTTTGTGTTTGCGCCGAATTCTCAGCGAGCAGTTGTTCCAAATCATCATTATCGCACTTCGGAGGGCCTCCAGGGCGTTGTTTGTCGATTAGACTGAAATTACCGCTTTTAAACCGCTTAAACCAAAATGCGCACACATCGTACGATACAACACCTTCGCCGAGAAAGGAACAAATCGATTCGCACGCTCTCGCAGCATTTTTTCCTTGTTGGAATTCGTAAAGAATGCAGTGTCGGATATGCACCTTATCTGTCGCCATTTTTGACTGTACTGAACTTATATATACTTTTGAATACCTTTGAAGGCTATGTTGGGCCAAGCCATATGTTCTTTTTAATAGCTATATGTCAACATTGCATAATCACAAAAGAGCGGAAAAATCTTATTCAATTTAAAATTGATTTCATAACTGTTTAAAATAATTTGGATTATTCATTTGTACACCTAATATTTTATCGAAAATTTATCTACTCGGACACGTAACGTCGTTTGATGTAACGTTAAATCTATTGAATTTTCTCTTTTTCCCTCAAGTACCTGCAAATTCACTTTAGAAATTTAATGCTGATAAGTTCCGAATATCTATACCTGCTTGGCGGTAAATCACTGTGTGTGCATCATCTCTCACGTATTTTGACGATAAATTAACAATTGCTACTCATTCGTATTATTGAAAACTAACGTGTGTGTGTGTGTGTGTGTGTGACATGTGCACTCGAACACGACTGAACTCGGCAGAAAATTAACAAGTTATGAATAAGGTCTTTGCCATATCGTAACCTACCCGTAACCCGAGCTCGACGGATATAAATATGTTTTTAGACACAACGCGCAAGGGTCTAGCGAGAAAAAATGATAACGGACGTGAGAGCATGCGATAGGCGAGATAGATAGTTATGTTACATTCTTTACGTTTGTAAAGACGATTTATCAGTGTTATTTCGAAACCATATTATATCTGAGTCGAAACCATATTATTCTGAGTGTGTTTCGGGACATCTTATGTTCGAACGAAAGATTCTCCGGTGAGAGAATTTGGATTGAGTTCAAATTGTTCAAGTTGGGACCTCCGTAAGATTGTTCTTTAGCCAAAACCCGTAGAGGAAGGAGAAGAGAAAGAAGAAAACAAAAAGTTGCGTACCTGGCACAGGATTAATGCCGCAATCGATAACAACCGCGCCCGGTTTAATCCAATCACCTTTGACTAGTTCGGCTTGCCCAATGCCTACCACTAAGATATCGGCTTCACGCACCTGCAATGAGATTTTATTTGAAATGGTGTGAGTGTGTCGTGTAGTACTTTATTCATTCGATTATTCACGAGGAGGTATCGCATAAGTTCGAGTGATCACTTACAATGCCAGGAAGGTTCTTTGTTTTCGAGTGGCAAACCGTTACGGTCGCGTTATGCCATTTTAGCAACTCGCTAATCGGCGTGCCGACGATCTTGCTCCTTCCCAACACGACAGCTCGCGCGCCAGCGATAGGAACACCGCTCCTAAGAATTGTTTTTGCTTTTTATTTAATGCCCTACGTCTGTACTGTACAACTTTGTGGTTCTTACAAGTGAATCAACGCACTTCTTTATCAACTCGATGCAGCCGTTCGGAGTGCATGGCAAAAATCCGGACATGTCGCCGATAGCAACTCGGCCCTCGTTAACGGTATTTAATCTACAATTAAATAATTTTGTGTATTGCGCGCGTGAATGAATACGTTTTAATATATATGCGATGTTCCGCGCGATTTAGTGATTTTACGTTTTAACGGACGAAGAGTTTTGCGAAAATTATGCTATTGAATTAGTTAATTGCGATAATAATTACTTCTAAATCCCCGTGACACAACATATTGATGCAAATTGACATCTACACGTGTTCCTATCGTATGAAGCTGAAATCCGCGTGTCAAAGGGCAAGTTATTTGTGCTTTCGCTCCTGTTTATCGCCGTTAAATGCGTCATGAAATCTTCTCGATATACCACTTTCGTAATTGCGAATATATCTACACGCCGTTTTACGTTGAAATACCGACAAATATTTCGCTGACATCAATTTATTGAGTTCAATCGGCGATCTATGTATTCGTCGGCATAAAATATGACGAGATCGAAATTACGTCAGTGCTGAAGAACGTTACTTTGCGGAATGCTACTTCAAATAATTAACCGATATCTGACAAATTCGTAGATAACAAACAGATTGATGATATTAGTCAGCGTCACGCGATGCTATTGGTTGATGTCAAATTGCAATAATTATACGTTTAAATTGTTGCTATGCTGCCCTAAAAAAATATAAATAAAAGAAGATCATTATTTTCTTACCCATCAACGTCTTTGCTGGGTGACACCAGATCAGTGATCAGATGAGAATTGATTTTATTTACAGAGTCTAACGGCATTTGCACGATAATCCCGTGAATGTTAGGATTATTATTCAGTTTATTAACTTTGTTGATAAGCTCTATTTCCGTAGTCGTATTAGGAAGCTTCACATGCTCGGCGAGAATTCCTATGTCGGCGGCCGCCTTAATCTTCATCTTGATATAAACATTGGAATCCTCCCGGCCACCTACCTGAACGATAGCCAAACCTGGTGCGAAGCCAGGTAACTTTTCCTTTAGGATGTTTACATCTTTGGTTAACCCTGCACGAATTTCTCTACAAAAGTTGCATTAAATATGCATTCGTTAAACACTTTGAGAGACAGTTTTGTGTTCGCAATCTGTTATCTGGTTTTCATATAAAAAGTAAAATTTAAAGGGAATATATTGGGTGATCAAGAATTTCGATGGATTTCGCAATAAAAGTGATTTTGTTTTATATTATCTTTATAAAATTTCTATTATTTTTTTTTAGAAAGAAAGAAACTTCAAAACTTTTGCACTCACCCAATAGTAGTTTTTAAAAGAATTTCCACAATTTCAGAGCCGAAATTTTACAATTAACAATTAACGTCAAGTTTCTTTTATATTGTGCGTTTATTATTTATTTTATTAATTTACTTCATATTGTTCAGAATATGATTGATTGCATTTACTTAAAATAAGAGAATACGCTTTACGATCGAAGTCCAGTTCATTTTCACGCGTTATTCTACATTTAAATTTCGCGGGCATTCTTTGGGCTATTTATTTTTGTCTATTAAATATCGATTATTTGACATACAACCGCGGACAAGATTATTTCAATTATTTCAACGCGTTTATTATTATTTCCCGTTATTTTCATATTTCGATATAGATGAATGTATTATTACGTGACTCAAAGAATCATAACCTCATAAAGAACATATGACTATCACACGATAAAATATATGTTACTTCTTAATATAGCTTTTATTCCAATCAGATTATTACGATTCGAATATAGTTTGAATAATGTTTACGACAAGGACCAAAGGTCCAGGCAACAATTCTTTTTTCATGAGATGCGTAATCGCACACAGTAATTCGTAATATCGTTTTCTCAAGATAAACGATCGATTTCTTTTATTTATTTCTTTTATTGCGAATTTGAAGTAATTGCACGAATTAAGGAAGTGATCACTTACTTCGCCAATTCAGTGCCAGATAATACAACTCCTCGCACATCTGTGGACATGGTTCTATTAAGAAATCTGAAATTATATCATTTGATAATTTTGCACTTTACTAGTAGGTCGAGATTAGATTTTTCACTATTATCACTAACTTCACTGTTATTTATTGTCACAAATTGACGTCTTTCTCAGCGAATGTCAGGTATTTACAGGCTGACTGGTGTTGATCAAATGGATCTTTTCTGCGTTCCGACCGGCTCACAAGTGGTTCTCGACGTAACACATATAGGGTGTTCCGTAGATGCGAATTACACCAATTTAATATCCTTGAACGAATTTGATCGAATTTTTTGCAGGAAAATTATAATCTTTCATTTGTGTTTGCGCACAGATAAATTTTTATTATTAACGTAACAGCCAATAGATGTCTAAACAAATTGTTTTTATTAGACTCACAGTTAGCACAAAGTAATTGAATCACACGTGTATTTTTATTCGTCTATTTTCGTCTATTCGTCAGTTCGTCAGTTTTGAAAATCAATTAAAATGTACTTCGTTGTTCATTCTTCCTGAGAAGAAAGCATGTATTACTCGAGTAGGCAACACTATGTTTTTCTGAGGCACCTTATGCACAGTTATCACGTCTCTATTATGTTACGTCATATGCTTGTGCACTCACTCTGGTTCTTCATATATGTGTATGTACATATGGTACATTTCCGTTGTCAACGAGGAGACGAAGTTACAATTTTGAATTGTATAGGTAATTCTTAAGTTTATGATCGCACTTTAAAGGAAGGAAGAGTGATCGTGACCCGTTATATAAAGTCTGTTCTTTTTCGCTGCACTGCTACACTGGTGCAATAAGTTAGAGAGTGAAACAAATATATAGTTGTCTCACTCTAACTTATTGCATCAGTGTAGCAGTGCAGCGAAAAAGAACAGGTCTATAGTGAGTCTCGTGTAATATATGTAAACAGCGAAAGGCGGGTATTTCAAACATTCTCTGTAATTCGTTATAACGTCGAGGATGAAGTTTGGACTATTTGTGTCTAACAGATATTTTTCTTATCTTGTGGATTAATTTGATCTTTGTGGAACATCAACATTTATTCCTCAGGAGTATCTTTATTAGAATGCACGTCTCTGCGAACATTCTTATTTTTTTGTTAGGAAGTTTTCTTTATTATATTTCGTTATATACAATGACAGTAATCTGAAATTTAAAAAATAACAAGAATAACGATGATTAGATGTTTCGTCAATTTTGATGCAATTAAATTTTCAGAATTTGGTTAAACATAAATCTAATATGAAGAGTCTCTCTTTTCATTAATTAGTGAAATATATAATATTGTTTAAACTAATGATAGTCTCTTACTTAAATATTGTTGATATAAGTATCATGAGACGAGTTGACGCAACGATTCGACGATAACTACTAGTTTTGCATAGTTTCCGCTGATGAATGCATCTTTGTGACGATGCGAATGAAATATAAATATGCGATAAAAATACGAAGCCAGCTACGCACGTTACGAAATTCAGTGTGATAAACTCTGACACGTGTTACAATCGACCTTCCATCGAGTCGATAGATAATTGTGCAAACCATATATATTATTTTTTAACTTTTGATATTACTTATTTGTACACACACTCTCTCATCTATCCTTTATACAATATTATAAGAATATTATAAGAGTTGTAACTGGTAATGCAAAACGGAGGTTTTTTTCATATTTGTCGCAGATAATGAAAATATATTCATACTAATATTGAAATATTAATTGAGACTAATTGCTTTACAAAATTTGTTATATATCGTTCATTTTTAAGATGATAATTTATGCTCAACGCAATTATGCAGTTTTTATCGAATAATAATCAGATACAGTGTGTAAAATGCGTACATAAATACGTCATTCGTTAATTGAGACTTAATTCATTGTAATCAAGAAATATTCGTTTGAAATTATTATAATGTTATTGAAAACCTATCTTCGCAACGACGTTATTTAATTCCCAAGTTTCGTGAAAGTGAGTTTACTGATTAGATTTGTATGATAAATTGGAAATACAAATCAAATTTTTCGTATCACTCTTTTACCACGCAAATAAAATAGACACAAAAAAACATCATTCGCAGGAATTGAAATCAAAGATCGAAGATGCGGTAGTCGTGAAGATAAATAACCACTGAAAATAAATAACCGCTGATGAATAATTTCTGTCTTACACTTGAGGATTCTCCTCTGAGAATCCAGCACCGATTATTACCCGCGCTTTTATTTTATCGCAGGTACAGCCAAGTTGTAACTGAAGAACTTATAGTTAGACAAATTCTGATTCTGATTCGACCCGACGCAGCGGTTCAAAGAGAATTTGCCCTTACTCAGAATTTAGTCGGTTTACCAGCGGTTAGTCCGCGTCGGGCATCATCGTCTTCGTCTCTTCGTGCCGCCGATTGGCGGATCTGTAATATCGTTAGGCCGCGGTTTCGACCGGGCCACTGTGCTGCTAGAGGTCGGAACAATCGCTGAAGATTAGTAAGATTAACCAAGATCCCCTTTACGTCTGGATTGCCCCTTCGCCGGAGAACCGCGAGCTCAAGGAAGGAGCACGATCCAGCACTCGGGCTACTGTCTTGTACGTATATAGATCCGTTCCTTGAATCTCGCGGGACGACTTTACGTTTCCCGGTCCTTTCTCCTCCTCAAGTCGACGTCCTTCCATTGTCCCGGTGAACTTAATCGCGTCCTCTCCGCAACGACGCGTGCTCTGCACTTCCGTCTCCGTGCGAAAAATCATATCTCCATTCCGGCTGCGTTCAGCGATCGAGATATGACGACGTTGATATGGTTACTGCAACGTTTAATGAGTACATCTCTATGACGGATTTAAGGCAAGATCTATATCTGTGCCCGTCGAGACGCTTGTCCCACTTGGCGCATCGATCTCGCGCTCCTCCGAGACGAATCGCTTCAAGTTCCGGAGATCTCCTCGGGAGGACCTTCGGCAGTTTTGCGCCTCGCGGGCGCGCTCGCGCGCCCGCACGCGCTCGTAACTTAAGCTTAATTAATTCCAAGTCAGATAGTCAGATCACGTGGAAATTGGCGGTCTATGCGAAATTGTCGGATCGATGCCGGCAATCAGCATCCATAATTGCTCGACGCTAGTTTCGCACGGGGCTCCATAATCTAGCCGCCCCGCCTTCAAGGAAATCTCGTGGGTGCTTATCGTCTTTGCTGGTTGGGTGGAGGTTCTCTCTCTCTCTCTCTCTCTCTCCCTCTCTCTCTTTCTCCCTCATCACCGTGATGTCCCCTCGACACCCGCATCCCTCGTTCTTCCTTGCCCTCCTCGACGACTCAATCTTGATTCGCAAATCCCGCCCGCGGCGATTTCTCGTGTAATCAATATCGAGACGCGTATTCCGACTTCGCCCTTCTTTTCTCAGAACATATCCTTCGAATTGTTCCTCGAATATCTTCCGACGTTGCGACAACGAAGCGACCGTTTAGAAAGAGCTCGAAAGCCGTTGGTCGATGCAGATTGGACGGTCCAGCTGCTGGTTGACCGGTTTGAAGAGAGGAGCAGGATCAGAACCGGAACCGCAGCGAATCCTCTTATTTAATAGCATGAATGACGGGGTGAAACCGTCTCCGTTGTCGCGTTTCTACGCGCGGTGCTCTTGATGAATTAAAAATTTAACTCATTAAAACCTCTAAGAAATTATCTTCAGAATAATTTTTATATGACTCGAGACATGACAGAAATAACTTCTTATCCTCTGAAGAAATATTCTAGACAATGGTAAATTGCAGAAGAACTTTCAAGACTACAATAATCGTAAGCTGGTCTAATTGGTCTGGAATTTTTCATCGAGACGATAATAATGTTCGATGTTTCCGAATAGACGAACCATGTTACCAGCGGAGACGCGCCAACTCTCCCTTTTGTCAAAGCAACCACTTTTTTGTATTTATTCGTCTAAAGATATTTCGAGTAATTCGTTGCTTCTTATTAACGTCGCAATGTCGCAGAAATGTTATACGTGGTGTTTTTTTTTTATTCGAAGACATGTTCCTCTCCTCGTTCATTGATCACACACCGTACGTGATCTTGCCGCGAGATCTTCGAGTCGTCTCGAGGAACGTCGAGAAACTCACCGTTTCGTCGCTGCCGCTGTCGAAACAGTCCGATTCTCCAGATCGCCGAAGTCTGCGCAACTAATATAGACATCGTGAAATCTTCGGCGCGGCTATACCGAGCAACGGCGAGTTGTTACGAAAAGGGGTGAGTCGGTAGCTTCGTCGCAGCGTAGGTACCTACAGATTCCAACTTGTGCGGATAGTTGGGCTTAAGGGTTCCAGGGAGAAACTAGCCTTGGGGTGACTGGAGGCTACGGATGATCGGGGCTGAAGTAAACCGTCGGGTTGGGTGGCGCGACGACGAAGGGTTGGGGAGGGAGCGGACGGGGCGGCGAGGCAGGGGTCTAAGGTGTAGGTGGAAGGTCGTTGCAGATCTCGGAGAGCAAAGCAACTCGGACCGCAAATTCCTTTACGGTGTTCGGCGCGCGGCGCATTCGCAGTTAGAAGCAAGGAACTGACTCGTTTTCGCTAATAGGACGCGTTTAACTTCGCGCACCCCCCGCGTGCGGGGGTGCGCGCGGACGATACCACGAAGGGCGCGCGTTGTCCCAATTCTCCGCTACGCTCTCGAGATTTCCGTTACGAGGATTTCTACGTTTACCGCGTCGCCGGACACGCAAAGCTCCGCAGGGGCCGCCTGCGGACGCTGCGCATCGGCGGTCCACTTGAATCGCGAGTTTCGTTCCACGAGTGCGTTTATATTGTTGGCTACCTAGATATTATCCTTCCTCAACTTTGGGCATCGCGTTAATCGCGGCTTGGCCTGCCTTATTTCGCGCGAGCTTCGCGCTTGTGTTTCATTTTTATTCGGATCGGTCGTACGATGCTCGACACTTTCTTGCTCCGACATTTCTAATGCCAGTCTTACTTTGCGCAGTCTAAACTTAAAGATATGCGGACAAGGAACGTCGTGTCTCATTAATATCTGTTTGCAGTTGGGAAAGAAAGTACAGGTTCTGAATGTCGTTGACGCATTAGCAATTGTCTTATAGCACGCTTCGTTTACTCCAACGCTGCGGTATCTCGTATTCGTTTCAAAGAATCGATGTGTTTATTGGCGCCGTTAGCTATATAAATATCGTTGACAGAACGTGACAACTTCGAGACACGCTTATTCG